TTATAAATCTGAAGACACCCTCGCCAGTAGAGCGAACATGCAGTCTGATCTCGATGCATGTCAAACATGGGGCAGGAACAATGGAGGCGAATTCTCAGGAAGCAAGACATCCGTGATGTGCCAGAGAGCTATCAATGATACACCTACTGCAGGAATCCAATACCAAATGTACAATGAGCCATTAACGGTGGTTTCTGAACTGCAACATCTTGGCATCACCTTGACCGACAACCTTGATTTCCGCAAACATGTCGCCTCAATAACTTCGAAGTTCAGATATCGAGTGCACCTTCTGTCAATAATGTCCCAGCAACTTACGCCTGTACAAAGGGTTCGTAAGACCTGTGATCGAATATATCTGTACGGTGTGGTCGTTTGGATTCAATAAGAATCATGCTGGCTCCATCCCTTATCTCCTAAGCTCCCACCATACCATATTATGGTATTGTACTACTCCCTGGTTGACTCCGAGACCCACGGTCGGACAAGCTGCCCAGGCCTCACCACCACTTCAAAAGTAAAAAAATTGCATTTTTGCTCCAAGTCCAAAAAACACGTTTTTGAGCCACGTATTGGGCTGCACGGCGGCGGGCTTTGCCCGCCGCTGTGCAGCAGGACCTTTGCCAGCACCCTCGTGACGTTGCAGATATGTGGCTTGATTATTGTTGTTGACGTTGATTTAGTGACTTTGGCAAGTTTGAGTCGTGTCAAGAAGTCAGGTAGTGCCAGTGGCATTGTGGCAGGAGTGTTTGGTCAAAATTTCACTTAAATCCATTGAGAAACACCAAAGTTACGGTCAACTGAATGCCATATGAAATTTTTGGGTAGGCTGCTCCCTTAAATTCTAAATGCTCCCTAGAGTCACTAGCCTATCGTCGTCAAATCATCAGTCTCACTACTTTTCTCAGATATGTTTTCCATCATCGTGATTATCTTGCTGATTTCCATTTCAAGATTACGAATAGTGAGCGACGACCATATACAATCATTCTTCTAGAGGTCACGCTCCATGAAATTGTTGGGTACTTGATCCAATATTCGTGGAATGAATACTTGAAGAATTCTTCGTCAACCTGATGCTTTGCAGTCTGGCCGCCTTCTGCCCTTCTCTGCGTACTGAGTAGCTTCTTCCTCGGCCATGTCTAAATAGGCCGCCATGTTATCCTCGTTTATGGACAGGTCCGTCATGAAATTAAAAAGTTCTTTGTATGACATACAGCATACTTCCTTCTTCACAAAGAAATCTGTGACATTGACACAGTCCATGCGCAAGAACACCATAGCCTGAGATTGGTCGTGCTCCACCGACTGAGACACATCAATGATGAATAGTTGACCCTGGTGATACAGCATCTTGAACTCGCTCAAATCGGCATGGATGAGGCGACACTTATGGTACATTTCCCTCATAAGCTCGATGCATTCCTGGTAGAGCGAACTCCACCCTCTTTCTGACACATCTTTAGCGTCCTTCAGGCGCGGAGAGGGCCAGCCATTCATGCCAAGGAACTCCATGACTAGGACATGGTTCCTCACAAGAATAGGCTCAGGACAAGGAATGCCCGCCTGTCTCATTCTCAGAAGATTTCTCAGCTCCTTCTCAGCCCACATCTTCACCGTTTTGCGGGGTTGGTCTTGCAATAGCCGCGTCGAAACCTGAAGTCTCCAGTAACATATTTGGAGCGGCCCTTAAATGCCAAAATAGATGTCTTATAGACCATGATGGCCCGGTCACCATTGTCACTAGCAGAATTGTACACGTTGGCCTCTTTGCCAGTGCTAATGCAGCCATTAACCTTGGTGAAGATGCCTTTATTCTGCAGTCGATGAAGTATTCGGACAGTGCGCGGGTCCAACACCCGCTCGACTGTAGCGTGATCAGACTCGTCCTTAGTCCTCTTTCTGTAAACGGCAGTTGACACCACCATGGCCACGGTAAATACAGGACAGACAGAAGGTAGAGTGCTGTAGGCTAGTAGCAAGACTATAATTATGGCTTAGGAACTAACAGAATGTAGGGCATTGTAGGCTACTAGCGGGACGGGACGATAGCCTACAATTTCATCGTATTGTTGTACGACATGCTATACGACATCATTTTACCGTACAACATCGTACAACCCCGTATAGCGTATTATCTCTAAGCTTTTGTAGAACCCAGTTTCTGTTTTAAGGAGGTGCAGCGTGAGAAGCGCAGAATAAAAAGCCAATAGCTGAGAAGAAGTGCCTGAAGACAGTCGCGTCTCGTCGACCAGGTCGCTTAGCGTAACAGCATGCCACATAGAACCTCACTTATCGAAATTACTCACGTGGGGAATTGGCAAGAACCGGGAATATTCATGACAACTACCGGTAGTGAGATGAAGTGGACTTGGTAGAGCTGTGGGCGTGGCTTGACCGGTAGTGAGGTGAAATCGACTTGGTAGAGCGGTGGGCGTGGCTTGACTGCTCGCACATGCTCTTGGAGTGCCCTTAACTTTCTTCTCATGTTCCTTGCGCGTTAGTTCAACACCTTCTGCATCAGGCTTAGGCCCTGTTGACTGACGGTTAGCTTTGGGTCGGTCATCATCTTCGCTGTTACAGTTGCTCCCTGTCTGGCTGTCGTTGTCATTGTCATCCTCCTCAGTATCCGAGTCACCATCACCGGCAGATCTGCTGCTACCGTAACTCTCAACAGCTCTCGACAGGTCCGACTTCAAGGCAGTCACGATTTGATATGCAAACGTGTCTAGACTGTCACGGTCCGGATGATAGAGGTCACGCTCCATGTTGGGTACTTGGTCCAATGTTCGTGCAATGAATACTTGCTTGAAGACTTCTTCGTCAACCTGATCCTGTTCCCCGGCTTCTTCACTTCTCTGGGAACTTCGTAGCTTTTTCCCCGGCCTTGCCTAAAAGATAGGCCGCTCAAGCCAGTCACGGTTTGATATGCAAGCGTCAACTTGATCCTGTTCCCCGCCTTCTTCACTTCTCTGGGTACTGAGTAGCTTTTTCCTCGGCCTTTCCTAAAAAATAGGCCGCTCAAGCCTGTCACGGTTTGATATGCAAGCGTGTCTAGACTGTCACGGTCCGAATGATAGAGGTCACGCTCCATGTGGGGTACTTGATCCAATGTTCGTGCAATGAATACTTGCTTGAAGACTTCTTCGTCAACCTGATCCTGTTCCCCGGCTTCTTCACTTCTCTGGGAACTGCGTAGCTTTTTCCCCGGCCTTGCCTAAAAGATAGGCCGCTCAAGCCAGTCACGGTTTGATATGCAAGCGTTTCTATACTGTCACGGTCCGGATGATAGAGGTCACGCTCCATGTTGGGTACTTGATCCAATGTTCGTGCAATGAATACTTGAGCCAAGTTGAGGCCAGCTTCTGCAAAGCGCTTGCCAATGTCAGACAGAAACTGCTGGAACGTTTCCCAGAGGGAAATAGTCGCGCCCTTTCCGGCACTTGTGTTCGCAACCGTTTTCCCATGCGTGTAGTTGCGGTAGCACGAGTGGTGGTACAGAAACTCAGCTGCAATGTAATCCGGGCCACCTTCCTGGAACAGCAGCTGAATTCTCTGATCCTGGTACGCCACTGCTGCGACTAGGATTTTCTCCCCGGCCTCAAATGTTTGGCATTGCGTAAGCTTTTCCACTTTACCTTTGACGCGTTTGTCAGAGGATCTCTGGCAAAACAGACATAGCTGGATGTTGGTTTTGGGGAGGGCGCTTCGTGTTGAGCGCCTCTTACTGGGATTGCTGTCTGCAGCAGACTCACACCCGTCGGTATTCTGCTGAGGCTGATCATTTTCCTTTCCCTGCTTTCTTTTCTTTTCTTTTTTACTATGTTCACATTCCCAGCTCGAAAATAATAAAGAAAGACAATGATACTGAGACTAGGGCGAACGTGACAACTATTGAGCAGGGGCTGCAGCGAGACGCAGCAGTGATGGTGGGGCATTGATTGCTCTGCCGACCTGAGGTCTCGGCATCACGGCCAAAAACACGCATCAAAAACAAAAGATAGGGCTGTACGAGTCAGCAAAATGAAAAGAAAGGAAGGGTTAACACCAGCGAGTGTGCGGGAGAAACTGTGAGACTATTAACAAATAACAAGGGCTGTTACTGAGAGGAGCATCATCATGGCTGATCATGGCGAGTCGGTTGTCTGAGCCAGTTGTGGTGCATAGATAGGGATAGAGGAGAACGACGAGAGCATCATCATAGCGAGTCGACTGCCCAGAGCCAGTTTGTGCTTCGCAGATGGCGATAAACATTAGTTTTGAATGCTTGTATTCCCTTGCTGTGGGGAGGCTGGGACAGAAGAGCGGCAGGGAGGGAGTTCCAGTCACTAATACTGCAGTGTGGGAACGAGGGCTTTAATGCCAGCGGGACAGATGCAAGCAGCATTGACTTAATGCATTCAGGGCACCAAGGTGCACATCAGTTTCAGATGCATGGCCTATTCTACACTGATAGACCAGGCAATTCAATTCAGGCAGCACCGACCATCACACGCCGAAAAAACACCCATTCGAAACAACCATGGTTCACAAAAAAAACTCAAGACACAACGTCAGCGAACTAACCGCCTCTATGTGCTCCACCGAAAGGAGCCACTCAACGATTCCTTGCGAGCTGCATACAAACTCTCGCGCAACCTGTACCACCGGTCATTAAGAGCCGCCAAGGACACAATGTCATACTTGTCAACGCTCGGATACACAATGCTTGGCAAAGAAAGAAAGGGTGGCTATGCGTGGTGGAAACGTGCCAAAGCAAGGCTGCCCCCTTAAATTCTAAATGCTCCCTAGAGTCACTAGCCTATCGTCGTCAAATCATCAGTCTCACTACTTTTCTCAGATATGTTTTCCATCATCGTGATTATCTTGCTGATTTCCATTTCAAGATTACGAATAGTGAGCGACGACCAAATAAAATCATTCTTCTAGAGGTCACGCTCCATGTAATTGTTGGGTACTTGATCCAATATTCGTGGAATGAATACTTGAAGAATTCTTCGTCAACCTGATGCTTTGCAGTCTGGCCGCCTTCTGCCCTTCTCTGCGTACTGAGTAGCTTCTTCCTCGGTAATGTCTAAATAGGCCGCCATGTTATCCTCGTTTATGGACAGGTCCGTCATGAAATTAAAAAGTTCTTTGTATGACATACAGCATACTTCCTTCTTCACAAAGAAATCTGTGACATTGACACAGTCCATGCGCAAGAACACCATAGCCTGAGGATGGTCGTGCTCCACCGACTGAGACACATCAATGATGAATAGTTGACCCTGGTGATACAGCATCTTGACCTCGCTCAAATCGGCATGGATGAGGCGACACTTATGGTACATTTCCCTCATAAGCTCGATGCATTCCTGGTAGAGCGAACTCCACCCTCTTTCTGACACATCTTTAGCGTCCTTCAGGCGCGGAGAGGGCCAGCCATTCACGCCAAGGAACTCCATGACTAGGACATGGTTCCTCACAAGAATAGGCTCAGGACAAGGAATGCCCGCCTGTCTCATTCTCAGAAGATTTCTCAGCTCCTTCTCAGCCCACATCTTCACCGTTTTGCGGGGTTGGTCTTGCAATAGCCGCGTCGAAACCTGAAGTCTCCGGTAACATATTTGGAGCGGTCCTTAAATGCCAAAATAGATGTCTTATAGACCATGATGGCCCGGTCACCATTGTCACTAGCAGAATTGTACACGTTGGCCTCTTTGCCAGTGCTGATGCAGCCATTAACCTTGGCGAAGATGCCTTTATTCTGCAGTCGATGAAGTATTCGGACAGTGCGCGGGTCCAACACCCGCTCGACTGTAGCGCGGTCAGACTCGTCCTTAGTCCTCTTTCTGTAAACGGCAGTTGACACCACCATGGCCACGGTAAATACAGGACCAACAGAAGGTAGAGTGCTGTAGGCTAGTAGCAAGACAATAATGGCTTAGGAACTAACAGAACGTAGGGCATTGTAGGCTACTAGCGGGTCGGGACGATAGCCTACAATTTCATCGTATTGTTGTACGACATGCTATACGACATCATTTTACCGTACAACATCGTACAACACCGTATAGCGTATTATCTCTAAGCCCAGTCTTTTGTAGAACCCAGTTTCTGTTTTAAGGAGGTGCAACGTGAGAAGCACAGAATAAGAAGCCAATAGCTGAGAAGAAGTGCCAGAAGACAGTCGCGTCTCGTCGACCAGGTCACTTAGCGTAACAGCATGCCACATAGAACCTCACTTATCGAAATTACTCACGTGCGGAATTGGCAAGAACCGGGAATATTCATTACAACTACCGGTAGTGAGATGAAGTGGACTTGGTAGAGCGGTGGGCGTGGCTTGACTGCTCTTGTATATCTTATAAGCGCACATGCTCTTGGAGTGCCCTTAACTTTCTTCTCATGTTCCTTGCGCGTTAGTTCAACACCTTCTGCATCAGGCTTAGGCCCTGTTGACTGACGGTTAGCTTTGGGTCGGTCATCATCTTCGCTGTTAGAGTTGCTCCCTGTCTGTGGCTGTCGATGTCATTGTCATCCTCCTCACTATCCGAGTCACCATCACTGGCAGATCTGCTGCTACCGTAACTCTCAACAGCTCTCGACAGGTCCGACTTCAAGGCAGTCACGATTTGATATGCAAACGTGTCTAGACTGTCACGGTCCGGATGATAGAGGTCACGCTCCATGTTGGGTACTTGATCCAATGTTCGTGCAATGAATACTTGCTTGAAGACTTCTTCGTCAACTTGATCCTGTTCCCTCGGCTTCTTTACTTCTCTGGGAACTGCGTAGCTTTTTCCTTGGCCTTGCCTAAAAAATAGGCCGCTCAAGCCAGTCACGGTTTGATATGCAAGCGTTTCTATACTGTCACGGTCCGGATGATAGAGGTCACGCTCCATGTTGGGTACTTGATCCAATGTTCGTGCAATGAATACTTGCTTGAAGACTTCTTCGTCAACCTGATCCTGTTCCCCGGCTTCTTCACTTCTCTGGGAACTGAGTAGCTTTTTCCTCGGTCTTGCCTAAAAGATAGGCCGCTCAAGCCAGTCACGGTTTGATATGCAAGCGTTTCTATACTGTCACGGTCCGGATGATAGAGGTCACGCTCCATGTTGGGTACTTGATCCAATGTTCGTGCAATGAATACTTGAGGCCAGCCTCTGCAAAGCGCTTGCCAATGACAGACAGAACTGCTGGAACGTTTCCCGGAGGGAAATAGTCGGGCCCTTTCCGGCACTTGTGTTCGCAACCGTTTTCCCATGCGTGTAGTTGCGGTAGCACGAGTGGTGGTACAGAAACTCAGCTGCAATGCAATCCGGGCCACCTTCCTGGAACAGCAGCTGAATTCTCTGATCCTGGTACGCCACTGCTGCGACTGGGATTTTCTCCCCGGCCTCAAATGTGTGGCATTGCGTAAGCTTTTCCACTTTACCTTTGACGCGTTTGTCAGAGGATCTCTGGCAAAACAGACATAGCTGGATGTTGGTTTTGGGGAGGGCGCTTCGTGTTGAGCGCATCTTACTGGGATTGCTGTCTGCAGCAGACTGACACTCGTCGGTATTCTGCTGAGGCTGATCATTTTCCTTTCCCTGCTTTTTTTTTTCTTTTTCTTTTTTTTACTATGTTCACATTCCCAGCTCGAAAATAATAAAGAAAAACAAAGATACTGAGACTAGGGCGAACGTGACAACTATTGAGCAGGGGCTGCAGCGAGACGCAGCACTGATGGTGGGGCATTGATGGCTCTGCCGACCTGAGGTCTCGGCATCACGGCCAAAAACACGCACCAAAAACAAAAGATAGAGCTGTACGAGTCAGCAAAATGAAAAGAAAGGAAGGGTTAACACCAGCGAGTGTGCGGGAGAAACTGTGAGACTATTAACAAATTACAAGGGCTGTTACTGAGAGGAGCATCATCATGGCTGATCATGGCGAGTCGGTTCTCTGAGCCAGTTGTGGTGCATAGATAGGGATAGAGGAGAACGACGAGAGCATCATCATAGCGAGTCGACTGCCCAGAGCCAGTTTGTGCTTCGCAGATGGCGATAAACATTAGTGTTTGAATGCTTGTATTCCCTTGCTGTGGGGAGGCTGGGGCAGAAGAGCGGCGGGGAGAAATTCCAGTCACTAATACTGCAGTGTGGGAACGAGGGCTTTAATTAGGGCTCAAACGATTAGTCCGATTAACCGGTTGCAGACCGGTTACGAAGAATTAACGGTTAACCGATAAAGATAACGGTTACGCAGTAACTTTTCAGTCAATTTTCGAGTATCAGGTCGTTGCAAAGTGTGCACTTTCGCGGGCTGTCGCACGCGTACGCAATTTCTGGGCTGTCAACTCGGTCATATCTGGTCTCTTGGTGTGAGAGTATGTATGAATGAGCATGCAAGAGAATGTACAAGTGTGCGTTGTACTGAATAGGGTACATTTTTTGAATGAGTATAGTGAAATATACGGTTAAAAAAGAGTCCGCAGGATTGCCGTGGCTTAAAGGTTATAACCGGTTAACCGACCGTTAGCTTAGCAGTTAACCGTCAGAGGTAAAACCGTGACCGTTTGAGCCCTAGATTTAATGCTAGCGGGACAGATGCAAGCAGCATTGACCGAATGCATGCAGGGCACAAAGGTGCACATCAGTTTCAGATGCATGGCCTATTCTACACTGCTAGACCAGGCCGTGAATTCAGGCAGCAACGACCATCACACGCCGGAAAAACACCCAGTCGAAACAACCATGGTTCACAAAAAAACTAAAGACACAACGTCAGCGAACTAACCGCCTCTATGTGCTCCACCGAAAGGAGCCACTCAACGATTCCTTACGAGCTGCATACAAACTCTCGCGCAACCTGTACCACCGGTCATTAAGAGCCGCCAAGGACACAATGTCATACTTGTCAACGCTCGGATACACAATGCTTGGCAAAGAAAGAAAGGGTGGCTATGCGTGGTGGAAACGTGCCAAAGCAAGGCTACCCCCTTAAATTCTAAATGCTCCCTAGAGTCACTAGCCTATCGTCGTCAAATCATCAGTCTCACTACTTTTCTCAGATATGTTTTCCATCATCGTGATTATCTTGCTGATTTCCATTTCAAGATTACGAATAGTGAGCGACGACCAAATAAAATCATTCTTCTAGAGGTCACGCTCCATGTAATTGTTGGGTACTTGATCCAATATTCGTGGAATGAATACTTGAAGAATTCTTCGTCAACCTGATGCTTTGCAGTCTGGCCGCCTTCTTCCCTTCTCTGCGTACTGAGTAGCTTCTTCCTCGGCCATGTCTAAATAGGCCGCCATGTTATCCTCGTTTATGGACGGGTCCGTCATGAAATTAAAAAGTTCTTTATGTGACATAGAGCATACTTCCTTCTTCACAAAGAAATCTGTGACATTGACACAGTCCATGCGCAAGAACACCATAGCCTGAGGATGGTCGTGCTCCACCGACTGAGACACATGAATGATGAATTGACCCTGGTGATACAGCATTTTCAACTCGCTCAAATCGGCATGGATGAGGCGACACTTATGCAACATTTTCCTCATAAGCTCGATGCATTCCTGGTAGAGCGAACTCCACCCTCTTTCTGACACATCTTTAGCGTCCTTCAGGCGCGGAGAGGGCCAGCCATACACGCCAAGGAACTCCATGACTAGGACATGGTTCCTCACAAGAATAGGCTCAGGACAAGGAATGCCCGCCTGTCTCATTCTCAGAAGATTTCTCAGCTCTTTCTCAGCCCACATCTTCACCGTTTTGCGGGGTTGGTCTTGCAAAAGCCGCGTCGAAACCTGAAGTCTCCGGTAACATATTTGGAGCCGTCCTTAAATGCCAAAATAGATGTCTTATAGACCATGATGGCCCGGTCACCATTGTCACTATAGTCCATCAGCCAGTGGTGCCAAAGTGAGTCCCCCGTTGCACTTACAAATCGAACACCTGGAACTGACATCAATCGACAGCAAAAGCATCACTGAATCCGACCTGCCTACTTTCCCTGGCGAAACTCTTGCACTCCTTTTGCAGTGCGCCTTGGAAGTTCGACAAATTTCTTCTTCTTCATCAGCCATTACGAGGTTTTCCATCCGTTTTATCAGGACATCCAATGCGTCTTCAGTGAAAAACGTGGAGTTTTGTCAACGTTTGGTGTGGTTTTCCGTGGCGATCGACCTAAAATCGCGAAATAAATCGCCGTCGATTTGAGCAGAGGTGAGTTGACTTGGAGCACGTACAGATTCAAAAAATATGTGTACATGCGCACCGGGAAGAAGATGAAGATTCTCACCATTTTCAAATAACTAATTCAAAAAACTACATGACTATTGTACTGCAATTGTTGTAGTTACGTGTTTGCAACTACAATGGTATCAAGTAGATAATCAAGCGAGGTACAGAGGGATTGATGGCTGATCAAAGCCCAAGGGACCAGCCCGAGGGCTTTGATCAGTCATCAAGCCCGACTGTACCTCGCTTGAATATCCTTCAGACGATCCCCAACAATTTTTTGGATTTTGAATTCAATCGCTTTATTCTTTGGGTGATCTCGAGTGTGGTAGATAGTACTTCGAAGTAATACAACTGTAACTGTGCCACTACCTGGTTGCAACATGTTCAAAGCAGCCTTGCCTTTATTTCAACTGTTTGCTGTCAGCATCCAGAGCCATGGCGTTTGCTAGTTGGTCGTAATGGAGAAGAGAACTGCAGGGCATTCACTCGATGTACAACATCCATCGCCGCAGATTCCTTACTTTTAGCTCTCCACGTTCCTTATTTTTCCAGGGATCAGGACCTTCCCGGGGTGATTCCATTCAGGGTGGAAGCGTAGATCACTTTTGCCAAACAGTAAAAACTACGCTTCAAACCTGCTTGACATGACTCGGGGTGCATACTTCGGCAACCCGAAGGTGGATGATGTTCAATACTAGCTCATTGTAATCTTCCTGAAGGTATGTATTCGGATGCTCAATTAAAATAGAACAGTGAAAGAGATGTGTAATGGAACAACACCCTACAAGTAGGCGAACAACAATTTTATTGTAATTTGAATCCAGGCACACGTGTAAAACGGAAACTGCAATGGTTTACACTGCAAATCTTCTCGATTTGCAAGATTTTTCTCGTAATTCACAAAAATCTGAAAGTTCATTCCTGAAACGCGCATGGCACTGATTGGAGATTGGGTTTAGGTCACAACAATGGCTGTCGATGAAATGCCAAAAATGGTCACTTTGTCGGCTTCCCCCTGCAGAGCGTGCAAGTCGTTTACTCTTTTTATTTGCGGATTCGGTGTACAGGGTACCTAAACTCCCCATTGAGGCCAAAATCAAGTATTCGATTTCTAAGTGCAACAGGGTGCTTGAATTTGACGACTTCTGAGTTCTTGGCTGATGGACTACTAGCAGAATTGTACACGTTGGCCTCTTTGCCAGTGTTAATGCAGCCATTAACCTTGGCGAAGATGCCTTTATTCTGCAGTCGATGAAGTATTCGGACAGTGCGCGGGTCCAACACCCGCTCGACTGTAGCGCGGTCAGACTCGTCCTTAGTCCTCTTTCTGTAAACGGCAGTTGACACCACCATGGCCACGGTAAATACAGGCCCAACAGAAGGTAGAGTGCTGTAGGCTAGTAGCAAGACAATATGGCTTAGGAACTAACAGAACGTAGGCCATTGTAGGCCACTAGCAGTACGGGACGATAGCCTACACTTTCATCGTATTGTTGTACGACATGCTATACGACATCATTTTACCGTACAACATCGTACAACACCGTATAGCGTATTATCTCTAAGCCCAGTCTTTTGTAGAACCCAGTTTCTGTTTTAAGGAGGTGCAGCGTGAGAAGCACAGAATAAGAAGCCAATAGGGAGGTTCTGCTCTACGTTTTGGGAACGCGACGCAAAGAATCACGCGAACTTTCTTCGCGTTCCCGTAACGTAAAGAAATGCTGTTCTGCTCTACGCGTATACGTTTCACCTAGAGAAGTCACGTGGAATGTGTACTGGGAATTTCCCCTTCCATATTTGGCAGTTTTCTGCATGCAGTTGATCGATACCCAGCAAATCCGTACGCATTTTCTCTGCGTGTGCCACAACGTAGAGAACCCCATCTCCGCGTAGAAATCTGGAGCCAAAACACCCGAAGCCGTAGACTCTAACCCAGACACCTGCTCTCTACGTGATTTCTCTACGTTTCACGTATAGCAGAACCTCCCTAATAGCTGAGAAGAAGTGCCAGAAGACAGTCGCGTCTCGTCAACCAGGTCACTTAGCGTAACAGCATGCCACATAGAACCTCACTTATCGAAATTACTCACGTGCGGAATTGGCAAGAACCGGGAATATTCATTACAACTACCGGTAGTGAGGTGAAGTTGACTTGGTAGAGCGGTGGGCGTGGCTTGACTGCTCTTGTATATCTTATAAGCGCACATGCTCTTGGAGTGCCCTTAACTTTCTTCTCATGTTCCTTGCGCGTTAGTTCAACACCTTCTGCATCAGGCTTAGGCCCTTTTGACTGACGGTTAGCTTTTGTCGCGAAGCGAGATAGTTTAATTTTGCTATTTTACATGTTTTAGTTCATGTTTCGGCACTGCAGCAATCTGTAGCTTTCTCTTAGTTTATACGGTAAATATTGCACTGTGAACTCTGTACGGCAAGTTCTGCCACATGCACAGTTTGTAGCCTCAGACCCTCTAGGTTTACACAGCCATGCCAGAGCTCGCATTTTTCCCAACTGCTGCATACTGCTCTCCCAAAATAATGAAGTGCGCGTGCTCCGTACGATGTTGCACTGCCACGTTCACTTATGGTATAAATTCTCTTTCAGTCAGAGCAAATAAATCAGTTATCAACTCATCTCCTAACTGTGCACTTGCGGGTTTGTGCCGGTTAGTGACATGGTGCCGAAACCTGGTTGGTTGGTTGGTTTTTATTTCACTTCGCACATTCAAACGGGATGACGACCCAATAAAATGACGGCGAAGGCTTAGCCTAGAAGTGGCTATGGAAGAACATAGTAAAAGCTATGGAAGCACATAGTAAGAGAATAGGATACTAATAACTGCGGGTAAACGGGGGGAGAGAGAGAATACGATGTATCTGTGATACTATGTGCGGGTTACTGAACTGCACGGGGAGGGAGAGCAGAGCAATCAGCAGCAACTCGAACTACTCCCTACAGGCGTATGGTACACATGCATGCTTAAACTCAGGTAGCCGGGTAATTGTGCGGACCTCACCAGGGAGAGCGTTCCACAGCAGAGCACCAGCAACAGAAAATCTCCGCTGACCGCGGCGGCTACGGTTTGCCTGGCTTAGTAGGCCATTTGACTGCTGATGGCGGGTAGGGGTGCCTTGTGCCGGGGTCAGAAGCTGGGCGAGCACAGGGCTGGTGCGGGCGTTGATGCACCGCCAGATGGTGATCAATATTTTCTGCCTGTAGAGCTCGCTGACACGGTACAGGGAGTGAGCAGTGAGCAGCGGCTGCATGGCTGTCCGGGGCGGGTTGCCATCGATACAGCGGATGGCTCTGTTTTGCGTGGTTTGCAGTCGTTTCAGTTGACCCTCTCGCATTGCGGCTGAAAAACAGCAGGAGCCATAAAGCAGGTCGGGCATTATGACCGCCTTCACATACACCTGACGAGAGCGTCTTGATAGGCTTCGGCGTGCCCGCCACAAGGCGCCAATTTTCTTGGCAACCTTGGTGACCACATAGTTTACATGGGTGTCCCAATCTAGGCGATTGTCAAGGTGAACGCCGAGGTAGCGCGCAGAAGACGCTGAGGGGAGGAGACAGTCGCCGCTTTTGACTGTTACTTCCTGTACATGCTGCTGGGGAGAGATAGTCAGAACCTGGCTCTTGGTGGCGTTCAAGATAAGGCCTCGGGACTTCAGCCAACCGGCCAGAGCAGTTGCCGCTGTGGTGAGGGTTCTGGACGCTTCCGCCGCTGAGGCCTGGGAGTCGTACAGGGCTATGTCGTCTGCAAATTGTACACTTGGCACAGGCGAGGAAACCAAAGGGACATCGCGTGTGTATATACTGAAGAGGACAGGGCCGAGAACAGAGCCTTGGGGCACTCCGCAGGTGCAAGCCAGAGCAGGGCTGGTTGAAGGCGAGATGAGGATCTGCTGCTTGCGGCCGGACAAGTAGTCGACGAACCAACTAAGGGCTTTTCCAGAAATTCCAACCGCAAGGAGGTCTTGAATTAACTTGTCGTGGTGCACTTTATCAAAAGCCTTCGACATGTCTAATAGGCACAGCCCTGTGGTCTTGCCACTGTCTCTCGCCTTCTGCAGATTATCAGTCAGCACACAGAGGGCGTCTTCCGTGGAACATTTCTTGCGGAAGGCAAATTGTGTTTCGGGTAATGCCTGGGTCAAGTCCAAATGACGAACTAACTGGTGTTGCACTACCCTCTCCAGCAACTTGGACACTATTGGGAGAAGGGATACAGGCCTATAGTTGGTGGGGACTGATGGGTCACCGGCCTTGTACAGTGGCACGACAGACGCCAATTTAAATGCGGATGGAATGGTTCCAGTCCTCAGCGAGGTGCAGAACAGCACAGCAAGAGAATATGAAAGCAAGTCAGCACACTGCTGTAGCAGAGAGCCCGGTATGCCGTCACTACCTGTGGCTTTCCGCGCATCCAACTTCTCAAGGAGACGTCGGACGTCAGCAGGAGTCACAGGATCAAGTTCGGTCAAGGAGACGGGTCCAGCGGGACCGTGCGGGGTACAGAGTTGTTCAGGACGGTTGGGATCGGTGACAATGTAGTGGAACGTGTCGGCCACCTCGCTGATGCTACAACTAGGATCTTGGCGGCGACGTGAACGCCCAGTGACTGCATTTAGAATGGCCCAAGACTTCCTAGGGTTGGCCACATT